TTTTTTTTTTTTTTTTGGTCCTGGGATTGAAAAGATAATCTTAATAATCCAGCTTTATTTTGTAGAGGAATCAACAGGTTCAGAAAGGTGAAGTAGTTGGTTGAGATCACATTACTAGGGAGGGAGATGTGCTACAACTCTAGCTTCCAGATCCTTTTTCTCTCCAATATTTGACTTCTCTTTCAGTAGTCAAGATGTTTAGAGTATGGTTTGACCGTGGTAAAATTCTGATTATAGGCTGTACATCTGTGGGCGATATCATAACAAGTAAATTAAAAGAGGAAGTCAATGTCGTGTAGCTGTGGAACCTCCTAGGATGTCTTTGAGGCAGGAAGGCTGTCACTTAAAAAATCCTGCTGCTGCAGTTTGCTGTTTTGAAGCAAGGACTTTCACCATGGGTAATAAAATGGTTACATAGCCATAAAAGAGCTGCAAGTTTACAACTTTAACCTTTTCTATTGTCATTGGCTGGAGTAAAATTATTTTTACTGCACGTTGTTTTCAGTAGTTTAACCAGGAAAATGTTACCAAGGAAAAGTACTAATTTTTAAATTTCTTTTTCTGATCTGTTGCATTCAGCTGATTCTTCAATTTTTCCTTGTGATTTCAGAATTATTTATGCAAAGCAAAATGAGAACAAAGAGAATCCTAGTCTGGATAAATGCCTTAAGTAAAAACAGTCTAACAGGTTCCTAAGAAATGTTTATGAGACAAAATAAATTCGAGGAGGGTCGCTATCCTTTTTTTTAATTTTGGAGAATTAATTTAGATGAATTAGTATATAATGTTTCTGATATTATGCACTATTTTCCAACCTGCAACATGCCTTTTTCTTATCTTCTTTTTTAAAATGTCATAATAAAAGATAAAAGAAGTTTTGTTACTTGTTGTACATTAACTATATTATGTATTTTATATGTGGCCCAAGCCAATTCCTCTTTTAAAAAAAATGAGGACAAAGAAAAGGTGGGCCAAAGGTTGGACACAGTAGTTTTCATTATTAACAAAAATGCTTTTTATTAATGACCTTTTATATGTGAGGCACTTATCTCAGTGCTTTACATATATTTTTGAAATCATTACAGTAGTAGCCATTGGTAAATTGGTATCCTCTTGTCAGTGACACAGAAGCTAAAACTGAAAGAGACTTTTCCACAATTATGACTTTTAAGTAACCAAGCAGCAGAGCAAACTTGAATCTTTCTGATTTCAAGGCAATCCTTTTTACTCTCTACCATACTATGTCTATAGAAAGATCAGACTAAGCTAGGATTCAGAACACATAGTGAAGATATATACCATAGCTTTATTACTTGATAATTGAATATTATTTTTTGACGATCTTGCAGTAATGTTTTCCATAGAGAAATGTGCTCTTGCTGACTGCCATTTCTCCATTGCCTCATGTTCACTAGAAGTTCGCAGAAGCATCACTAGTAGATAATGCTGTTGTTCTTCTAGTTTAGGATCTACCCCTAACTAAAATACTAAGGAATTACTTATAAGAGGTTGAGATTTTCTAGAACATGAGCTATGAGCTATAATTGTATCCCATGTGAGAAGGGAGAAAATACACCTGTGTTTCTAAACAATAACAGAAAAGCCATTAGCGTTAGATTTTATTTATTGGGGAAACAGATATCTGAAAATCTATTGTACTTGCTAGCTCTTTCTTAAATTTGATAAGTAGCAAACACAGGCTGCAAAACTTACTCCAGAGACATCATCATGTCTTTGTACTTTTTAAAAAGTTACTTAGGCAGGAAGGATTTTATTTTTTTAGCTACAGAAAAAATACCATGTTAATTACTAATGTGCTATTATTTTTTTTAAAAAATTAACCATGAAACATCTTGGTGAACAGAATTCACTGCCTTATTTCCAGAGGTTTAGTTACAAAAAAAGTTCGAGTAAAAACAATTTGAAAGTAACTTCCAGATATAATGACTCCTTTCTCCAGAATAAAACATTCTTTAACATAGCCTCCATACAATTATAAAAACCAAGAAATTAACATTTAAGCTAATATTGACACTTTATTTGAATTTTGAAAATATTCTAATCTAAAGTCTAATCAGGTATTGCATTTATTAGTTTATTATTTATTATTCATTTCCTTTAAAATATTACAGTTGCATAGTCTTTCTTTTCTTTTGTGATCTTGAAATTTTTGAAGAATGTAAGCCAATTGTTTTCTAAGGCAGCTCTTCAATTGAGTTTGTTTCATTTTATTTTGATTGTTTGGGTTATGCATTTTTGATAGGAATGCCACAGAAGTTCTTTCCTTCTCAGCACATCTTATCAAGAGGTACACAAAACCCATCCGTTCCATCATGAGTGATACTAACTTTGGTCACTTGCAAACTCTAAACCATTCTAAAGATGCTATTTTTCTCATTGTAATTATATGTCCTGTTGGGGAGATACTTTGACAATATGTAAATATTAAACTTCACCCACTAATTTTAGCATTTGTTAATGATTGTTTCCTGACTCCATTATTGCTGTAATGGCTACCCATTAATGCACATGCTCATTTTAACTTGATACATTTCCAAAGAATAAGTACTGTAAGAAGCAAAACTGAAGTAATCTTCCAAAGTGAAGGTAGGTTTATGCAGGACACACAGAAGCTGTTACTCTTTCCAGTATATGTTTAATACACACTCAGTAGGGAATGACCAATAATAGCATAAGATTTTACCTCTTAGAGACTGAGTGCAGTTTGTGTGTGTGTTTGTGTGTGTGTGTAAAGCAATCTAAGCTACTGTGCCAAGATTTAGATAAGTATGAACATATACAAATGCTATTATAGAACTATAGCATTTTCCATATTCTTCAGTGGTTCTTTTTCTGAAAATTTGTTTTAATGTTTACCATACATGATAGTTTTGTGATTTATATAGTAAACTATATGAGATTATATATATTTTATTTTAAAATTACAAACTACTTTTTTTTTATATTTATCCTCTTGATTGGTTTAAATTATCTCTGTCAACACTAAAACTGAAGTTAAAGAGTCATATACCTTATTTAAAGGATTTTTTTTTCCCAATCTTACTTTTAAATGTTAGAATCCGGAGTGTTGGGACAGCAGCTGTTAACATGTGCCTTGTGGCAACTGGAGGAGCAGATGCATATTATGAAATGGGAATTCACTGCTGGGATATGGCGGGAGCTGGCATTATTGTTACTGAAGCTGGTGGAGTACTAATGGATGTAACAGGTAAAATTATGGGACAAGAAAGCACTTTCTTCTTCATATCTATTAGATTTTCCTCTGTAAGTTATTAAAAATGATTGGTACAGGGGCTGGGGCTTAAGCTCAGTGGTTCTACCGCTTGTTTTGCAAGCGCGAGGACCCAAGTTTGATCCCCGGAACCAAAAAAAAAACAAAAAACATGATTGATACATATTATGCTTGAGCCTTTAGGGAAACAAGCTGTGTAATTGACTACAAAATCAAAATGAACATTAGGAGGAAGAGGCAGGGATATGAGTTGATAGTAATGAGGGGCTGATAATGGGAAATGGCTGTGTTTCTTCACATATATCAGGAGTTCCTGAGAGACCGTGAGGACAGATTCTAAGGGTTGTGTCAAGAGCTCTCTGAGTGGTGACCATGGTGATAGGTGACAGTGGACTTCCTCCACCACCTCTTTCTGCATTGGTCCTAGAGAGATAAAACTTGATTTGAGTGGATGATAAAAAATGTTAAAGCATGAAACCGAGTTAAAGAATTTACCAGTTATTTGGGAACAAAGCAACTAGGAAATGGGAAGGAAGAATGGCATGAAAAGTGTAAAATCAGATTCTGTAGATTCTCAAACAATAAAGAGGTGCTAAAGAATGCATTGAAGAAGAGACAGAAAGGGAAAAGATGACATTTTTCATACTGGTGTGAGTTCAGATCCCTCCTTACATTGGTGTTAGAAAAAACCAAAAAACTTAGAAACTCAGTTACATACTGCCAAAGCTTAAGCACTATAGTTATGTGACAGAGTACATTTTTTTGAAGAGAACGGAGCTTACTAAAGTACTATTAGGATTGACCATAATACGCACTGTACTTTGGTTTTTTCCAAATTATTTTTTGTGAAGTATATAACCATTTTCCATGTTCTATTTGATCTTAGGTGGATCATTTGATTTGATGTCACGAAGAATAATTGCTGCAAATAATAGAGCATTAGCAGAAAGGATAGCCAAAGAAATTCAGATAATACCTTTACAAAGAGATGATGAAGATTAATTCCAGCCGCCTCATTATTCACAGTTATTTTTGCCCAGATTTACTGAAGTGCTGATGGGTATCTGTTTCACATGTATGATATGATTTAGATTATCTTTGATGTTCTAATTTTAAAATGAAAAATTTTACTGTAGGCTGTATGCAAAAATAGATGTAATATTTTGTTTTGTGACTTTAAAACATTTTGCATTTATACATTGGGAAAAATATACTGAAGTATAGTTTGTGAGCTACACATGGAAATAATTAGCAATTGTGTGTTTTCTGTATGTGGTGCTCTGAACTGTTGAGTTACTATTTATATACATAAGTACTCAATTAGAAAGTGACCTTTTTTTGGAAAAAATTTTCTTTGTTCTAAAAGCTATATTTAAAATTTATAAGGCTATAATAAATGCTTTTTAGATTAAGGTTTTGCTTCTTAGCAGAAAACGTTGTATCTGCAGTATAGTACCTAGCACGGTACCTGTCAAATAGGAAGTACCTCAAAAATGAACATTTTAAGAATGAGTATTTTTAACCAACAGTTCCTATTTATAATAATTACATAAAGTAAAGAGCTCACTATTCTGTAGTTTGGCTTTTTTTTTTTTTTTTTTTTTACCTTTTTACTGAGTTAATCCTACACCCCTTTTTATTTTTTTATTTTGAGATAGGCTCTTGCTAAATTGCCTAGGCTAGCTCAAATTTGCCATTTTCCTGCCTCAGCCCCCCAGAGTCTCATTCTTTTTATATTTCCTGTTACTGTACCATTTCATATGACCACACTGCCATGCAGTATTTCTTACTGTGAGCATTTCTTCAATCAACATGTTTTCCAGTGCACGTTATGATTTATATTTGGATTGCCTTCACTCCATGTAAGAGAAAAACACTCAAAAGCATTACTGTCAGGTTTCTGATATAATTAGATAAAATAAACATTTTCTGAATTCTTGGTTTTTGTTTGTTTGTTTTTGAGACAAAGTTACTATGTGTTTTCCATATTAAGCTCAAACTCAAAATCCTCTCTTCAGCCTCCCAAGTAGCTGGAATTAAAGGCATGCACCGCCACATCTGGCTTTCCAAAGTCAATATTCACGTTTTATAGATGTTCACACTGTTTTGGTTGTGCTGACAAATAATTGTGTTGTTAATATTGAACTATTTGATTTCTTCCCAGACTCCTTATTTAATTTCATGGCTACAACCGTCATACATTCTTTTTTTTTTTTTTTTTTTGATGGGGGGTGGGTACTAGGGATTAAACTCAGGATCAGGGATTGAACTCAGGACCTTGTGCTTGCAAGGCTGGTACATTGCCACTGAGCCAAATCCCTGGCCCTTTTTTCTTTCTTTTTTAAAAAATAAACACATTTCCTTGTTTCTTTCTTTATTTTCATACTGGGGATTGAACTCAGGACTTTGTGCTTGTGAGGCAGGCGGCAGCACCACCGAGCTAAATCCCTGGCCCACCTTTATATATTCTTTAACTGACTTTAGCCTATCAGACTCCAAAAGAAAATTGCACTGCTTCACAGACATTTTTAAAGGATTAATTTATGGGTTAGCCTTTTCCATTGGCGCAGAAATGAATTATTAAGTGTTATTATAGGTGCATGTGAACCTTGTATTTGATAAAATGAGAAATACTTAAAGTTCTTAAAATGAGAAGTGCTTATTTATAGAAAGACAAAAATTTGGGTATCAATATGGCAGTTGTACCATAAATCACATGTACTTAAATATTTCACATTGTGTAACTCTAAGGTTTTTTTTACAATTTTAAGATTATCATAAAATTGTAAATATAATTGAAATTTATATTATTGAAGTTTATAGTTTAAACTACTTTTAAGAATTTTATGTTGAGTTTCAAATATATGAAACTTGGAGTTCTGATATATATTCTTGTTGTTTACCTGTAGTTTTACAACTTTTCTAAGGACTCTAAAAATTTTTCACCTATAGGTAGTAAGTAGCTTTTATATTTTCTTTTAAGTGAAACTGGATTTTGTATGGTTCTGTTTTCATTATAAACTATATTGAAAAAGGATGATTGACAAGTAAAATTTCCAACAATATATTTTAAAATGTTATTCTGTCCCCTCATGGGTCCTTTTCAGGTTTTTTCAGTTTTCCAGGAAAACCTTACATTCTTTCTCTTTTGACATCTGTAACTATCTAATGTTCCTTTGTTTTGAAAACATATTAAAATATGTGAGGTACAGGTAAGACTTTGTTTACAAGATGGCTTATCTAAAGTAGCCTTACATGCAAGAGAAGAAAGCAAGGTAGAAGAATTAATCAGTAGAAATAAAACTAATTTATAGTCTATGTGACTAGAAAATGCAAAAGATTCTGCAGATAAAACATTAGCATTAGTATTGTCATTGGAGATAAGGTTAATATAACTGCATTTGTATACCTTAACATTACATAGGATAGTATTTATATACCATTTACAGTAGTGTAAAAAATTATCTACTTAAAAATTATTCTAATGGAAGACTTGGAGCTGCACATGTAGCTCAGTGGTAGAGCATTTGCTTAGCATGCATGAGGCCCTGGGTTTGATCTTAGAGAGAGAAAGAGACAAAGAGGGAGCTAGATGGAAAGAGAACACACAAGAGTTTTTCACTGAAAAGCTATAAAACATTACTGAGAAAGATTTCAAGTATCTGTTTTTGGGGGGGTAGTACCAGGGGTTGAACTCAGGACCTTGTGCTTGTGAGGCAGGCAGTGGCACCACTGAGCTAAATCCCCAGCCCCCTAAAATATCTTAAATTGGAATTATGGTTTAAAAAACTCAATACTGCTCAGATGTCAGTTCTTGCCCAATTGATCTATAGATTGACTGTATTCCCAGTCATACGCCCAGTAATGTTGAAGGGAGATTGCATCCCCATAACTTTGACCAGCACGTCCTTTCTCCCGCCTCTCAAATCTTTACCTAGAGTCCGTATTCCTTTTCTGAAATCTCACCTTGATTCTCCAGCTCCTTTCTCCAGGTAGTATTTCACCAGATGACAAGTCTCAAAACAAACTACTTTTCTCCTCAGAATGTTCTGCTATTCTGTATATATCCCCTCCCCGCTTTATTACTTGGAGCCCGTAATATTTGATGTTTACCTTCCCCTTATCTTTCACATTCAAGTTATGGAGCCAAGTTTTGTATAATACAGCCCTACCTACATTCCCTTTGAATGCTATAGCCAAACTAAAAGACTAGCTCTTCACAGAACTCCTTAGAGCCTTTTCAGTTCACATCCCATTTGTAATCCCATCTATAGTAAAAGATGTTTTTATAAAATGAGTCACGAGACCCCCCACACACACAAACACAGGCTTTATCTTCTGTCACCACATTTATAGATGGTGTGCTTCTGCCCCCAACTAATTCAGGAGGAGAAATCAGATCCAAGCAGGAAGGACGAAATTCACTAGGAAATTGGGACTATTCAATCTAACAGACTAGCAAATAATTGGAAATAACTTACGGTGCCATAGATTAAAAAACAAAACAAAACATACTTCTCAGCAGTCATGGCCCTCCCATTAAGCTGGCTATGAGCATTCAATCCCTCAAGTCTACCTGTTTTTAGAGGAATAGATATATTCCTTGTTAGATTTCTTATTTCTAGGATGCGAAGTGTAATGTGCTTATGTCCCTTAAGTAGTTTATTCTTTTAAATAGCTCATAAAATATTTTCCTTGGGAATAAGTATTGTGATTAATTTTTAGCACTCACTGAGCAGTGTACCATGCATTTTACTAAGCACTTGATTTTCCCGATCCTAGTTATCATGATGACCCCCAGGTGAAATTATTATCCTCATCTGACTGAGGCACAAGGATATCATTTAATTAGCCCAACTCTTCTACACAAAGCACACAGCTGAGCGGTGAACTCCTGTAGAGACCGTTGGGGTCCACAGTCCCGACCCACAACCCAGCGGCCCTCACCCCGACTGCACATTAGAACCACCGGGGAGATTTTAAAATACCACTGATGGGGTGCATCTGAGTCTCTAGGTCTGGAGAGCCGCAGACCATCTGTACTTGTAATTTCCCAGGTAATATTACCATCGAGCCAGAATCAGGAAGGTCTTTCTTGCTCAGAAACAACCAGTTTCTTAGAAGGAGCCAACACACCCATCCAGTTGCCCACCTTCACAAACCCCAGAGTTTTATGAAACAATTTGATACCTTAAAATGAAAATGTTGCTTTGAGTCACCCTTTTGTCACCTGGTGAGCTTGCTTGGAAAATTATGTATTAACCTTTTTTTTTTAGTTCCAAAAATTAACACTAGATGGCAAACAACAAATGGAATCATTTTATATTAAGCACTTTCAATTTTGAAGCATTTTATTTTCCTTCAAATAACCTCATTAGCCAATATTTAAGTTTAATAATATGGTATTATACACGAAGTGAGGGCTGGGCATGTCTCAGTGTTAGTACAGTTGCCTAGCAAGTGCAAGACCCTGCGTTCAATACCTAGTGCTGCAAAATATAAAAATTTAAAGATAAAACCAGAGAAACTCGTCAAAAATTGTACTGTGGATTAACTCACATTCCCTTAAGCAAATCCACAGATCCCCCTCCATATTTTAAAAACATTTTTATTAGTATTTATTTGTAGTACTTAATGTTTGCATTTCTGGTGTACGTTACGGTCTAAAGGTTAGTCCTCTTCCTGCTTTAGCTTTTCGAGTGTTTTGTTAATCATAAACATATAGAATGAAATATGTTATTTTGCTATCATACTTGAGAATTCTTACATTAATACATTGCGATCTCCTTGATAAATAATTAACCCATAGTAAAAACAGTTGTAAATACACTGCATATCTTTCTTACGAGTTTGTGGCACTTCCAGCAGTACAAGGCAGGGGGCGCTACGACACCACCATATGCTTACCTTCCCTGAGAAACTGCTCTGATAATGGAGATACAGAAGTAGGGTGTGGGAGGAACAATATAACATTGATACTATACTGGAGAATACTATAGGAACATTATTGATTTAGCCTCTGGCAATCACAAGGTGCCTCCATAGCCTGGACTTCCCAGTGGTGGCAGCTTGTCCAGACCCCCAACACCAGACATCCCCTGTTTTGCTGCATCCTGCTCAGGGCACACAGGACTGGGTGCACTCACAGAGCTTCTTGCCCTTTTCCAATCAACAACAGGGCTCTCAGTTCTAAGTTTCTTTTACTACATTAGGCTTTAAACCCTTACATACAATGCCAGGTAAGGTCTGAAAGATTTAGAGGCTCGGAGAAATCATCACCAGCTTACTGGCTCCTCCCTTCTCTTTGGATCCAGCCTGAATTCCTCAGTAGGAAGCACAAGGCTGTTCAAGGTTTGGTCCCCTCTTCCTTGTCTTTCTACCCCTTCACCTCCAGGCTCACAGGCATAAGGTAGAGTCAGGCAGATTTTGGTGAGTGTCAGCAACTCATGAATGTTTCCATCAAGCTGAGGTTGTATTTAGTCTTTTTTGTTGTGGTGGTTGTTTTGTTAATACTCTCTCACCTTTTACTTTGAACCTCATTTGAACTCATGCTCAACTCACTTCCACACGTGTAGCATCCACTTGTATATAATCTATGTATTTGGT